TATTATGAAAATTTTATGTAATAATATTATTATATTATATTGATCAATATCAATATAAAATAATAAGCCAATCAGTTTTTAATAATAAATATCTTAAGAAAAATGGTAATTTTAAAGCAATATTATTTAATAAATCAATTACTAATGGGATCAGCGTCCCTTGCTCAGTAGTTAAACCGAAAGTCTCCTATTAAGCTAAAGTTTCATTATACAACAATAGGCCATCAGTTCAAGTATCAGCCGATACATAAAACTAGATGATTTTCATAAGAATTTCATATGTACTGAATACGATAAGCGTATATAATAACATGCGTACAAATCTGGTTGATTGATCTATCGATCAACGTTGATCATGCCTAAATACTGCACAATGTTAGAACAAGTAGATGCAAATGAAGTCAGGAATCGACAGAAACTTAGCCTTCGCTGATTAGTCTATAATGGATACAGTCTTACGTCTCACTTGGCAGGGGCCCTTATTTCCATATATGATCATAAGATTATATATAAATTAAGGAAGTGATTGACCAGAATTTAGTAGATTAGACCAACAGTGATAATAAACTGCATTGCACGCCTGCAGCATCGTCTAATCAAGCTGTCACTAGGGTTAGAGGTCAGGTTCGATTCCTGAGTTGTTTGACGTTATGGGTATCAAAGTCATCTGGTTGATATGGTCTAGATGCATAACTGGAGATCACTGTTTGGGCAAATCTTGTGATACTATCCCATAAACCCTGCGGCTCTCTATATAGTAGTGATAAAGCCAAACCAAGATATTAGATCTTGGTTATAGTTCACTAGACCGTTGGTAAATGTAGTGATAACGTTCACTATGACTGAGATGATCCCTCTATTCAAATTTGACAGTACCTTTGATACTAAGTACCTAATATCAGATTACAACAAGCTGTTTGAGTTACCGGGTTAGGATGCATACTTAGATAGGCACATTGAAGGGGATGCGTTCGACATGGTGGATAACTTGAAAAATAGGAAAATACCTAAGATTAATTGGTCGGCACGTCGCCATGAAGTTGGTATCTAGTACTTACTTCAGTAAGTGTTGGGCTTAAGTGTTAAGGTTGTCTTTCGAAGTCACAGAACCTAAAAAAAAAAATAAATAAATAAATCAATTACTAAAAAAAAAAACTCTTTCCCAAACTTCTCAAAAACAAATGAAAAAGATCGACAATAAAAATAATGCCCGTTACTCATTCAATTTTTGCAAAGAAAACCTAATGAACTAATAATAAAAACAAACGAACTAACTCTTCTAACGACAGTGAAACCTCCAGTTTTATTCCTCAAATTTTTGAAAATGATGAAACTGTTTCTACTCTGAAAAAACAAAAAACTACCACACTACCCAACGACTAAGAAACAAAAATGAATATTCATAACATTATCGAAAACATCATCATTAATGCCGATACTCCTTCTAATATGACTTCATCACCTTTAAACATCTCCTCTACTTTTGTTTCACATAATGAAATGGAAGTTGATACATCTTCAGATACCATCGTTAACACCATCCCTACACTACTTCTGAAATTAACCACCAATGATTCCATGTACAGTGAACTCTTGATATAACGAATTCTAGGATCTGAATATCAACTTCGTTATAAGCTTATAACGAATTTTTTAAAGAATTTAATTGGCTAGTTCACTATAGTAAAGGTAATTTTAATATATTTGATTTAAAAATTCGCTATATCAAGGGTTCACTATATCAAGGTTTGACTGTATTATCCGTATTATCTATGTTATCTGTGTTATCCATATTATCTGTATTATCCATATTATCCATGTTATTTGTATTATCCATATTATTCATATTATCCGTATTATCTGTATTATCTATGGATAACATGAATATGGATTATCTATTCAATTTTTTTTAAATTATTCATATTTAAGTTTAATTTTTATATGGATAATGGATATTAAATTTATATTACAGATATGTATCCATAGATAATATAGATACACAGATCCAAACACTAAATTATTATACACAAATTTTCTTATAAAATTTATTTACACTTACTGTATATAAAACCTAAGGTTTGATTTTACTAGTTTATCTTACTTTAAATTAAAGTTCTAAAAAACTTAGTTCAATTCAAATTAGAGATCAATCTAATTTGATCTGGTATTTTCAGTTCAATTCAGTTTGGATTATAAATTCAAAAAGTGTTAATCTAAACTAAATTAACCAAATTAAATTGAAAACTTAAATAATCTGATCTGAATTAAAACTTTTTAGATTAATCTAAAATTTCAGGTTATTAAATACTAATAAAATTTCTCTGACAGTTTAAGTGTGACTTTTATTAGAAAATACTAATGAAAGTCATCTCTGAAAGTTTAAATGCAATAATAAAAGATGCTTTGACAGTTTTAGTATAATTTTATTAGAAAAAGTTACACTAAAAATATCAGAGATGAATGACTTTTATTATAAAAATAATAATAAAGTTACATTTGAATTATCAGGCGATTTTTATTATTATTTTTTATAATAAAAGTCACATTTGAACTGTTGAGTAACTTTTATTATAAAAAATAATAATAAAAGTCATCTTTAAAAGTTTAGATATGACTTTTATTATAAAAAATAATAATAAAAGTAATAAAAATTATCTTTAAAAGTTCAGATATGATAATAAAAAATGCTTTTAATAGTTTGGATATAGTTTTATTAGAAAAAGTCACATTTGAAATGTCAAAGATGACTTTTATTAAAAAAATGATAATAAAGTTACATTTGAAGTGTCAGAGATGACTTTTATTATAAAAAATAATAATATAATCGCATCTGAACTGTCAGTGACTTTTATTATAAAAATAATAATAAAAGTTATTTCTGAATTATCAGATGTGACTTTTATTAGAAATACTAATGAAATTCACCTTTAAAAGTTCAATGCAATAATAAAAGTCATCTCTAATAATTTAGATATGACTTTATTAGAAAAAGTCACACCCAAAGTATTGGAGATAACTTTTATTAAACAAATAATAATAAAGTTGCATCTGAAATATTAGGCAACTTTTACTATAAAAATAATAAAAATAGCATTTAAATTATCAGAAGTAACTTTTATTATAGAAAATGAAAATAAAGTTGTATTCAAACTATCAGTTATAACTTTTATTAAAAAAAATAATAATATAGTTACATCTGAACTATTAGATTCAATTTTTATTAAAATACTAGTGAAATTCGTCTTTGAATGTTCAGATGTGATAATAAAAGCTGCTTTTGATAGTTTAAATGCAGCTTTATTAGAAAAGATCATATATAAAGTATCAGAGGTGACTATTTTTAAAAAAGATAAAAAGATCTAAACTGTCAAGTGACTTTTATTATAAAAATGATAATAAAGTCATATTCGATCTGTTGAGTAACTTTATTATAAAAAAATAATAAAAGCTCATTTAAACTGTCAGATAAACTTTTATTAGAAAATATTAATGAAAGTTACCTTTAAAAGTTCAGATGTGATAATAAAAGCCACCTCTTACAATTTGAGTATGACTTTATTAGATAAAACTGTATCTGACTTGTTAGAAGTGACTTTTATTATAAAAAATAATAATAAAAATCTTTTCCAAAAGTTCAGATATGATAATAAATGCTACTTCTGATAGTTCAGGTATGAATTTATTAAAAAAAGTTACACCCGAAATATTAGAGGTAACTTTTATTAGAAAAAATAATAATAAAGTCACATTTGAACTGTTAAACAACTTTTATTATAAAAAATAATAATAAAAAAGTTCAGATGCAACATTTATTGGTTATTTTCCCAATAAAAGATGCCACTAAATTTAAAGGTATTTCTAATCAATCCAAAATTTTTAGATTGAATCTGTTCAGTTCAGTTCAAATTAAATTATAATCTAAAAAAAAAATCTGAATCAATCCAAAAATTTTCAGATTATTTTTTTACAATCTGAACTGAAAAAAACTGAACTAAACCAAAAAATTTTAATCTATTTAAAGCCTTTACTTTAGATGAAAATATTTTTCTACCTAATCAAGCTTATATTACTCTTAGTATATTATTCTTTTATCATTTTTATTATTAATATTATTAATTATAATTATTTGTTTATACATTATTTATATCACTTATCAAATACAATAAAATATTTTATTATTATTTATTTATAATTGTTCAAAAATAAATGATTCAATTAATTTATTTATGAAATATAATATTTTAAAAACCTTTGATCATACTCTAATAATTTTTTTAAATAAATATAATAAACTAATACATCTATTAATTTTCATTTTTATTTTAAAATTATTTTACATTCTATAAAAATACTTAAATTAATCTTTATAAATCATCTATTCTGTTTTCATGATAATTATTTGACTTTTTTCATAAAATTTATAGTCTCAATATTATTAACCTTATCATGTTTTTTTTTGTATTATATCATCAAATCATCAACCGATCTGATATATCATTTTATTGGATGAAGTGTTGTGTAACCACCTTCTTTTAAAAACAGTTTTTATTTTTATAATTTTAAGCTAAAATTTTATTTAGAATATTTACTTCCTTTATTTTTATTTTAAGTTTAATCAAGTTTCTGATTTAAGAAAACCTCATTTTAAAGATTTCAAAAAAGGTTCTAAATTTTTAATCTACACACATCATTAATAATAATTTATAAAACAATTAAAAGCAATTTATAGGCGGAGTTTGATATTACACAGCAAAAACGTATATACTAGATTAATCAATCAACAGGAAATAAGCCAGAACTCAACGAACAAATAATTATTCTTAAACATACTTGAAAACATATTCATATACATGTGATGAATATGACGATTTCTATCTTGTTAGTGCAACTGTCCCTTAAAAATGATCCCCCCAAAAATTAATAAATAAAATGGAATATTCCCACTGATATTTTGTCACATTCAAACCTTTCACTTTTCACTTTTCACTCTTTGAAACATTATGGCATTTCGTGGCCATTCTCAATATAGGAGTTGGAACGCGTTAGCATTGGGTATAAAAGAAGAGACTGCGGTAAATTTCATTAAATAATACGACTTTAGTTAAATGGCTATACTTTTTTTAACAAAAAGAAAATGGTTTATTAAAGGAAAAACCTGATAAAGTTGATGATTCATTGTCTAAGGATTCTTTGCGTAGACCAAGAAGAGAATCATGGTCTCAACCATCACAACGCGGTCGAGGTACAAGGGGAAGGGGTGTTTGGTTTATTGATAATAGACCACGGACTCTTCGTCGTCGTAACACTATGCCAAATTCAAGAGACGATTATCAAGATCAAGATCCAATTTACAATAACCTTACTAATGATAGGTCAGATGATTGTAAGTTCTAGCTATTAAATTTTTTTTTTTACAAAAGAAATAATTTAACAATAATTTATTTATCTTATAACATCTGTAGACAATGAATTGGGGGTTGACCCAATTTGTGAAGAATCTTCTCGGAATTTTTCATCCTCTCCCGATCTCGATGATTGCAAGAATGATGAGGAAGACGGAATAAAGTATGAGGATCAAAACTGCCAAGATGAATCATCCCCCTGGAATAATAACCCATATTCTGCTAATAATATCTACCATCCTCCAAGGTCGAGATCCACCTCCTACCTTAAGGACCATTGGAAAACCAATTCGAATAATAACGATGGAACACAATCCAGTAGTTACTCAAATGGTTATGAACCGGTAATGCTTCTTTTTTAAAATGTTATATCCTCAGAAATCAATTTACTAAATGGTATTTATTTTATTAATTAGGATAATTATAATGATCAATGGAATCAAAATCGAGAAAGTGAATTTACGAATAACAAACCTGATCAGACATGGGTTCATGATAAATACGAGGTCCTTGAATCCGATTTAGATTCAAAGGATAAAAAAGACGCGTCAACACAAGTAATACCTTTAATTTAATCCAAAACCATATTATAAATTCAAGTTAACAAAGTTAACATTTCGCGAAATGTTTCATTTAGGTCTCACCTTTAGATTTAAATAATGAGTTACCAGGAATAAACAATACCAAAAAAGTAATTATAATTGTAAAGAGAACTTTCACATTAGTTCTATTTTATTTAATTATCATTATTTAGGTTACGGTATCGTCATGTGAGTTTTCAAAACGAAGTGAATCTGATTCTTGGAAAAATCAAACTAAAAGTAATAAGAACTTAGAATTACCAAAAGAGGTAATGATTTTAAGTTAAAGATTTCTTATATTAGAATATTGTAAATTATTATTTTTATCTTTTATTCTTTAGATTACGATAAAATTCTCCGATCTAACATTGAAAGACAGGTTTATTTTATACAATTATATACATACATATAAATACATAAATAATTTGATTTTCTATCAATAATGATTAATCGTATTTATAAATTAATTAATTAAATCAAAGCAACAAGGAAAAATTCGAGTCTATTATCTCAAAATCACCAATTCAAGAAGAATTATTATTAATGGAGCCGGAAGTAAAATCTGAGGTGACCTCCATAATAACCTCTGAAATGACGTCTGAAGTAACTCCAAAGGAAAAAGAGTTAGCAATGTTAATTAATCTGGACGAAGAAGATAATACTGGTCTACAACCAATTCAGCCAAGAATCTCGCAAGATGTTTTAACATTAGATTGGGGAAGTTATCAAAATTCTCTATTAGAAGAAGAGGTAAAACTCACCATGGAACGACAATCCATTCAAACGGTACATATCATATTACATATTCTTTAATAATTTAATAATTATTTTGGATCTATTTTAATCATTCGTTAATATTTATTTATTAATTAAAAGTCAAAACCACATAAATTAGATAAAGGATTAAAGGATTTTGATACATTGATTTAAGTTTGTTTGGATATTGTAAAATTATACTTTTTTTTTTTTAAAAAAAAAACAATAATAAAAGAAAGTATGGTACTGTATGTATATATAATGGGTTCTGCGGCACATAACGCCTACATTAAAACCTATCATTACTAACAAAACCCCACATTAAGCGAAGTTTAAATTAGGCATAACAAGTCCTGAGTTCGAAACTCGGGTAGTAATATTATACGATAATTTTCACAAAGCCATTTAGCCAGCTTATAATGACAAGACAACAGATTTTCTTGTAAATTCGTAACATAACACGACGTAATCTACAATTAAAAGTAGTAAATACATTAAATTATAAATAAATATTAAATAATAATTAATTAATTAACCTGTAACGTTTTCGCTTATTTTTTTTCCATGAATTTGATCACGCTTGCTTTGGAGTTTGTCATATGCATGACATAATCTGTAAACTCAGCCAATGTCATTTTTGCCCCATTCAACTGCCATCATAACCAGCCATGAATGTACATATACCTGGATCCAGAGAAATCACTCCTGATCCTTCCTATTTAATTATTAAATATATAATTAATTGAAGTTTTAATTTAATAGATAATATAAATAATAAAAAAAAAATAGATAAAACCTTTTAAAATATAGGACCTTGGTTTTTGGCCTGTATTTCAAGTGGTCTGGAAATACAAAGATAATATTCAGAAGAGGCTCTGATGATTTGATTTAGGAAGAAATGAATATTCACCACAAGATTTACCCAATGCTTTGATAAGACTGTGATATACTGTTGAGAATCCTTTTTGGAATGGAATTTCATCTTGAATTTTCTATGATTGAGATACCAATTATATATCTATCATGCTTTTTTCACCTATTTCTAAGTTTCAAATACTTCTGCTGGTTGGGATAAATGTAAATCTGTTATACTTTACCTGCTAAAAGTTTTTTCACTTCCTTCTTAAAACTCTTGAAACTTTTGGTCAGCATCTCTTCTCCTTTTTCAATTTGTGGCTGAACATAATCCATTATATCATATTAAAATACTATGACAATTACAAACAAGTCTTTCAGCAAGTTCTTTAGCTTTACTACTTTGACATTGATATCTGTACTAAGTATTATGAGATAAGTCTCATTTTTCTTAAAGATCTATTTCACAAGCTCAAATTTAAAATAGTATAATCAATCTTAATAAAAGTTAGTAAAATAAAAAAATAAATCAAAGCAAATAAATAATTAAACTCAAATTTTTTGGATAACCACTACTTTTTTAATTCCTTCTTATATTTATTTTAAAAGAGATACAGTCGGACCTCTATATACTGATATTCTATATACCGATATACTATTAAAAACTTTATATACTGATAAAATTTTATTTACCCACTATACTTGAGGTCATATAAATATTGGTATAATTTGATATAATAATATTTTTAAAAAAAATTTCTATATGTCCCGACATATCGTTATATAGAAGTTTGACTGTATAAATTTTTATTATGATTGGATTAATAATTGTAAAGTTATACACATTTTTTATAATTGTATTATCTCATGAACTTTTTATCTTTATTTTTTATCCTTACAGTGATTTCAAAGAGCAATTTAAGTATTTTGGTTAAAGGAAATCAACTTTAGTCATAATATAGGCCAAAAGGGGGATTCTGGGACAGATTTCAAATATACCCCAAATAGACCTCCAAACCCCGCCTACGAATCAAATTTGCTATATGATTTCT